ATCATTAGAAGTTACCCAGTGTTAAGTTATTGTATTGTACTATATATATATATATATATATATATATATATATATATATATATATATAGTATATATAACCACCTCCCCAGTCCTCAAATTTTGAAGAATTAAGTTAATTTAAAAGATACATGGGTTTGTAGTGGACTGCAGGAAATAATAAAAAAAAAAGTGTGTTATTATTCATCAGATTTGAAGAATCATTATAATGAGACATTTAAAAAACAAAACAACCCTAAGAAAATTTCCCCTTTGTGCATATGTTATCCAGAATAGCAGTTAATAGAAATGGACAAGCAGGATCATAATCCTAGCCAATTCATATCAAGCGGCAGTCTTGCCACTGTTGACAGTGGTGTCAACAGAGTCAGCTTAGGATAGGAGAAAGCTTTGGAACATTTCTGAAAATATTGCTTTCAGAAATAGGAAAAATGTAATTGTTCTATTCAAGAAGCTCTGAAATTGACTATCCACTTTTACAAAAATAATAAGACAAGTCAAAACATCTCAGTTTAAAAAAAGTTTTCTCTTGGATTTGCATATTTTTCCTTTAACATTTTAATCCTGGCTTTTACATGAAAAACCTTAAAAACACAGAAAGCTACAGCACCTGAGTCTTTTAGTCATGCATTCTTTGAAAACCGGACCTCTACTTCCACATTCACTTTTTCTTTTCTGCTTCATGCTTATAATTTCTGTTCTTTCTGGAGATTCCCTGGTCTTCGGATTTACCATGCAAGACTCCACTAATTGAAGACTTGGTAGGTTTTTTTGTCACAGGAAATGAAATGCCCCTGAGCCCTTAGAGAGCTTCTGCTTCTTTGTCCACAGCCGCAGGTGGTTTCAGCTGTGCATATAATTTATAGTACTTAGCTGACTAAATGCAGCCTCATATCAGATGAGCAGACAGTTGAAACTGCTGGTGACGTTCAGTTTTAGCTTAGTAATTAACTGTGAAAACCACTGACAGTCATTTCACATCTCTTTAAAGAAGGCCTGCAGGAGGATTAATTGCTCTCAGCACCTCACTAGCAAATCCTTATTGCCTTCAGCAAGTTAAACTCTTAAGCTGTTTGGTAAAAAATTCTTTGATTTTCATCACTGTGAGATGCTGACAGACCACATGGGCGGTCAAGAATATTGAATTATGAAGTAGTAAATTGAGTGGATAGCATAAAAAGTGATAGAAATGTTCTATAGACCTCATATAAAATGAAATCATTCCATTATGGTAACAGAAAATACCACTAAGAACAGGTTTTTCTCTTTGCAATAAATATGTCTAATCTTATTTAGTGATACTGTTTGACTACTCTCAGATTATTTTCTATAACTTTCTTCAAAATAGGTCTGTGCCTTTTTCATAATCCAGTCACATTCAACTATTAAAGGCAGGCACTACTTTAAACTTGTGGGCTTTTATTCTTGGTCAGTAATTGTATACATTTGATCAATACTTAAGCAGCAGAGCAGGAAAGGGAAGCTCTGACACTGACTGTGTTTGACTGATTTGTAAACAGACTTCATTATTTCATTTAGCTTACATTTTGTTTTACTTCTCTGCTTCTTAGAAGCTTGTAAGAATTTCTCAGGAGAAAATATATAGGTATCTTGAAAAATGTTAAAAGTGAAATAATTTATCATCAACTTTGCTAATGCAGAATGAATAATTCATAAGTTGGTGTACTGATGATTAAATTACCTAGAAAATTTTCCATCTACAGAATTTTTCATGTCTTTCAGGGTGTGAAAGAGCACAAATGTGGAATTTGCGGCCGGGAATTTACCCTGCTGGCCAACATGAAGCGACATGTCCTGATCCACACCAATATCAGAGCATATCAATGCCATTTGTGCTTCAAGAGCTTTGTGCAAAAGCAGACTCTCAAGGCCCACATGATTGTTCACTCTGATGTCAAACCCTTTAAATGCAAGGTGAGCGCATTTGTTGGCAGAGGCATTAATGTATATATGTAATATATATATATATAAATAACGTAGGTATATTTCTCTGATATTGCCACTTTATGATATGGCAGAATTAGAAAAACAAAACTTGCTAACGCATACTGTAGTTGCATTCAAAAATTAGCATAAACCAATCTGATTTTCTTTCTTTATCCAGGTTCTGCTTATGTAGCACAAAATATTGGAGGTAAATAGCTGTGGTTTACTCCCTTTCCCTTCAGTATCATTCATCCTCACATAGTTTTGGGGTCTTTTTTTTCTGTGATCATTTAAGTTTGAGGACAATAAACATATCAGACATTTGCTTAGTACAGCCATCCAAACAGAAGTTTAAGTGCTTAATAGCTTGAAACACTGGCAAAAAACATAAATCAAGTCATGCACCCTACAGAGGATCATGGAAAAGCAGCAGCCACAACTTCACACAGTGATGCTCTGCAACAGCTCAAGAAAGAAGTCAGAAAAAGCCACAGCAAAATAAAACTACAGAAGGGATTTGAATGGGCCAAGTGTAATTACCAGACTGAAGTTCAGGGCAGGGTATCAGTATGCTAACAAAGCCACCACTGAGACCACCTGGCCTTTCTACATTCTTGTGCAAATTCCAGTTTCCTTCCCCCCAGCACCGGAGGCTAACATTCCCTTTCCATCCTCTCTTCTCCTCCCTCCCCATAAACCTTTAAGGCTCTATTGACCCATTTACTTCTAATATTTTCCTTATTCATTATTTGTAGCTATATTCTTACTCAGCATTGGATGCTACGTCAGTCCTTTTTCTGCCTGTCTGGTTCATTACTGTAGTCATACCTTGTGAAGTCAAAGATTATAGGTTTTTTCCCCACTTTAATTTGTTCTAAGCTGGCTGTAAATACAGAGTTGAGCTTTTGCATAAGTAACAGCAGACTGATTTAAAAGCAATTTCTAGAACTCTTTCGTCCTACATCTTCATGGTATTGAATATTTTCTTAAAAGGAACATTTCATGAAGAAGCAGAGATGGATGAAAAATTTTTAATGGAATTATTTTTTCTTGAAAAAAATGTAAAATTTCAAAATGTCATAGGAATATACGATATTCAGTCCTAGTTTTAGTAAGAAAATGTAAAAATGAATCTTTCTGACTTCATCATTTTGCTTTCTTAACTTAAAAAAAAAATCATTGAAAAATTAACAGCAAAGACATCCAACTTCAGTATTTTGTTTTATTTTAATTTATGTCTCATGAGAATAGTATTTTGTACAGTACATTATTATATATTATATAGCTTACATTATTCTATGTTGATAAAATAATTTCTTTTACTGAAATTCTTATGGTGCAACATGTCAGGTCTGCAGGAGGTTTTCATTCTTTCATAAAATCTGCAAAGCTGCATTTTTGTTCCTGTTTGGTTGAAGTCCTCCTCTGACTCCTCAAACTTCAGAAAAGAAATTAAATTTTTTGGATCAGGTTTTGTAGGTGCAGTATGTAGATCCACATGACTTTTTTGGGTACGTGCAGATTAGCTGGAAGGCTGTGTTCAGCTCAGTGTTTGATGATGACAGACTACTGAAACTTGGAGAGGGCAATAGTTGGAACTGGGAAACAGAGTATCACCAGTATGTTTTCCAGACAGTAACAAAAGCTCTACAGGAACACCTGTTTTTCTTATTTTTTTTTACTTTTCTGTCCCCACCCAGTGTTCCTATGAGGAAAGAAACAAGCACAGTGAATCTATTTCTCATATGGCTGGAGGGGTACGAATTAACATCAGTGGCCCTGACAGTGAAGACTGCAACAATAAGCAGAAGCAGAATCTGGAGCTGCTTTTTTGCATTAGGAACATCCTAACATTACCTCTCTGACAGAACCCTCAAAGTCTCTTGAAAGCAAATATTTCTGACTGGTACTTGCAGGGTTAAGGCAATGACCAGATAGCAGCCTTTTGGCACCAAGCTCCTCCTCAGCAGAAGGAAGGATATAGCTGTATGAACAGCCTGCTTAACAATGGCTCACATGTCCCTGGGGAACCGCCTGCAAATAGATTTCATCTTGCTTTCTCTTGTACTTTTCAAAGCTTCCTGTTTTCTCACGGTCCTTTTGGACAGTTTACAGTCATTCTCCCTCTCCTTCTTTCTTTGAGGAAAGGAACACCCTTCTTATGAAGAAAAAAAAAAAGAAGAAGAAGAATGCAAGGGAAAGAGAGCACAGCAGTAGCCTTTATACTTCACCACATGCAATGGTTTTCTTTACCTTTTTCTCACAGCAAAAGAAAACATGATCTTTCCTATGTGTCTAATCACAGCTAAGCACATACTATCAGAAGTGACCAAGTAGCAAATAGTTGTCCCTTCTGTTTCCTCGTCCAGCTGCAGCCTGGATCTCAGTTTGATTATCCTCTGAAGAGTGAACTTGTCTGTAGCATTTACAGACCTGAGCCTAAGTTGCCTTGTTTATTTGTGTTCAAGAAAAATCTTGAGGAGTTATGAAGGTATTCCACCAGCTGGTTCAACAGTACTAATTCGGATTTGTAGAGAAAAGTTCCATTAAAATTACTGTAGCTTTTGGTGCTGAAGTAATCAATGTATCAGACCTCAAATACATGATGCAATGAATTTCTCTTCAGCCCAGACAAATATCTGCAACAGATGTTTTGAACACCACTTTTTTCTCCATCTAAAAAATGCATTTTTTAAACAGGAGTCAAAATCAAAGAAAATGTGAGAGAGAAGTACTTTGAGAAGAAACAAAACAAGTGACAAATCTAGAGGGACAATACTTCACGTCCTGGTTTAGGACAAAATCTAGGGTTGAGCTAATGTAGACTTTTCTAGCCAACTATACTGAAGTCCATTTCACCAGCCAGTGCAATGAAGTCTGTTCAACAGACTTGCAGTGGAGGTGTTCTCGTCAAGACTTAAATTTATTTTTTTTTTGTCTAAATTAGACAGTCTGACATAAAGTCTACGAGGAAACCATGTTGTTCCTGATATCTCAAGTTCTCTTATATAAACTTCTCATCTCCCTGAGTGCTATGTTGCACTGTTGTGGGTTCTGCTGGAACTCCTCCCATGCAACTGTCTCAGGGTCATCTTTCACACTCTGCTCATCAGTGTTCACAAGCCTGTCATGTCAGAGAGAAAGAAAATCTTGCACAATCTTCTAGTATGATCTGCAGACTCAGGCTCTTAACTGAGCGTTAACCAGATTAAGTTGCAGTTTTCCAGCATATGAGTGAGAAACATATTTCCTTTTACAGCTGAATCTTAGATAGTCATCCGAAAGGTGTCTCATGCCTTTTTGAAATGACCAGTAAAACAAATTATGCCACAGAGACCCATCATTCAGAAAAAAAATTTCCCTATCTGTATTTCTTTAATTTTCCTGCCACACCTCTGCACTCTAGTGCCATTTCCTCATGTCCCCAGAGGACATTTCAGGACAAGAACACATTACACATCTCTAAGATGTGCCTGACCCTGGGAAATGGAAAACCTATCAATTTTATTCAGAGACACAGAACTTTTATGCTGTAAAGAACTATCCTTTACCAAGTCCCTGTCTTTTCAGTATGAAGAAAGAGAAATGAATATTGCATTGCCTTGAGAGAAAGCAACTAAATGCTCCTCCTAAATAAATTTAAATACTCAAGACCTTATAAAGATAAGGGTTTGAATGCAGTACTGAAGCCACTCCCCTACTCAACATGATTTTCCTTGACTACCAGTTATGACAGAGAGGATCTAGCTATAGGAAAGCAAGTTCTGGTGAAAACATGTCAGCCAAATTGCAAGCAGATAACCAGAAGCCTTCAGCAAAGAGGTGTTTGAGAGAGATATTATTGTTGACATTCTTGTAGCAAGAGTAATATTGACATATTACAGGTTGTTCCAGCAGCTGTCAAGATACAATCAGCTGCTGCTACTGCTGTTACTCCTTGCAAATTTTCTCTTCTCATTAGTACTCTCAATAGTAAACAAGAATCTGTTTCCTCACAGCTCTGTTTCTGAGCTATATTGTGGTTCCATCATTTCTCTGAGTGTAAATAATCCTGCATATGAATTTTCCTTGAATATAAAGAAGACAGTATTCTCTCCTCACTGGATGGATGACCCTTGGAAACAGCTAACTTACCTCTAAAATGAGTTAATCACTTTCAGTGGCTATTCTTTTTTATCACCAACCATCTTGTCTTACACTTTACTGATAAATTTATTTGCTAGAGTTTTAATTTTAGCAAAATTACAGACAGAAAAACACAAAAGGGTACATATGCAGATGAAGCAAATAGTTTTTTGAAAAACAAGTGAATGTTTTGAGACTCTTTCTTTTGCATCACTGGCTCAACTAGTTTTTGTTTTAAAATAGTACATCTGCTAATTTTTTTATTAATGAACTGATTCAATTTTCCCTCAAGAGAGGGCTTAAACACAAAGCACATGGTACTGTTTCCCCAAGGATCCTTTCACTATCTACATTTCATCCAGATATTCCAGCTAATGACTTTCTGAATTTGCTTCTGCAAGTTCTGTATCAGTTCTTCTGTAATACCCAAATAAATAAGATTGGAATTCAGGTTTTACAAAGAAGTCTGGTAAAAAACTGATGGAGTCTTAGTAATTTCTATTTAGTAATTTTATGCCAGATGGTTACCCTGTTAGATGAAGGTTTCAGTTACTCAGTAATGGTGACTCTGGTTCATATAGTAATAAGAAAAATTTTTAAAAATTAAAATCCAATGGCAAGTCAGGAAAAAAAAAAAAAAAAGAAACCAAACAGAAGTTTGCAGAGGATGGAAATAGCCACTTGAATGTGAATAAAATTATAAGGAAAGACCAGAAGACAAATAAGACTGGATGACTGTATTAGTGATGTCAAACTCTCATGTCTTAAGAATACATAAGAGCCCAGACGACAAAAGGACCCATCTAAATAAACAGCAATGAATAAAACCCACCCTTATTGTTCCATCAAAAGGAAAATTTCACGATCAATGGCTTGAGCTGGCAGGAACATGCTTCAGGGAAAGCTGAGTCATTTTGCAGCCTCATGACTGTTTAAACTGTAGCTTGTTCACCAGAGACACTGAAACACAGCAGTGGATAAACAAATGATGAAAGAATCAGGGAAAAAAAGGGTGAGCAAGAAACACAGAAAAACAAGGAATTGCTTTTTTTAACTTTAAGCAGAATGTGCAGCCATTTAATTTCCATTTAAAGAGCAGTAACATTCTGCTTGACTGTTTCACAGAGACCATTAATTGATTTTATTGTATAATTCCATTTCTGCTTGACATTGTTCTTGACTAAAGGCTAGATGCATAAACTAAAATGGAATGGTTCACCAGGGAGAAACCTGTACTTTGAATCTCACTGAAGTTAAGAGCCTTCCAGATTACTCCCTTTAGTCTTTCCCCTCCTTATAACATTGACTGTTTTTTGGGAATCCTTGAGTATGTGTGCTGGTCACCAATATTAAAAAATATCAGCAGTTCAAAATGCCTTAGATACTCAACCACATATTTTCAATCATATATTTTTGCCTGGAGGATTTTTGCCTGGAATTTGAAAAACATATTGCAGCCAAAAACTGCCAGAGTTCAAGTTGAGAAGTGTAGTTCTTATTTCCTTTAAAAATGTTGTCCTTGAAAAAAATGCTTCAAATTAATAATTTTCATTTTTATCATTTTTACAGCTGTGTGGAAAGGAGTTCAACAGAATGCACAATTTAATGGGACACATGCACTTGCACTCAGATAGCAAGCCATTTAAGTGCCTCTACTGCCCCAGCAAATTCACCTTGAAGGGGAACCTAACCAGGCACATGAAAGTCAAACATGGGGTCATGGAAAGAGGATTTCACTCTCAAGGTAATAATTTTCAGCAAGATTATTCTTTGTGAGATATTAATATGCATAGCAGTAAACACAAATGATCTTTGTACTACAGAGCCACAAACTTGTGCCATAGATCCAACACTGTTCCTAGAGATAGAACCCCATAGGTACTATTAGCTATATTACTATAGTGTTACATGTCCCAAATAAATCATAAATTAATTCTAAATTGACAGAAAAAGAAAATCTGGAACACTTATTGTCCTTTCTCACTGCTTACTGGATTCCAGTCTGGAACAGGGAGGGAATCCTCAATGTGTCTACATCCAGAAGCCTTTGTCATTCTGTACTGTTTTGACACAGCTGGTGTAAGATGAAGGCCATAGGATCAAGATCCTATTTACAAAGAAGCAGATGAACAGAAGGGGATATTCCTCAAATACAAGTCCCACAGTATAACAATTTTTGACTATCGAGACCATCCTGCAAAGCATTTCCTGTCTGCCACCTACCACATATACTTCCTAAAGTCATCCTCATGGTGTACAAAGATTAATGCTGAAGTGGGGGAATATTAGAATATTTTGAGGGCTTGGGTATTCAAGGTATGTTTTTTAAGAGCTCACCAGATACGAGAAAATTTGTGAGGCCTGATAACTGTATACAAATCCTTTTACCAAATACACCTTGTTACAAAATAACATCTGCTATCCAGTGAGACTGCATAGATCCTTCAGAAACTGGATTCAATTACTGAGGAGAAAATTTAAAAAAAAAACCCTACAAAAAAAACCCCAAAAGCAAGCAAAATATTGACTTTCATAGGAATTTGCTATTGGGTGAAATCCTCACCTTGTATTGTCACTAATCTTTAATGAAGCTGGCTTATGCCTGCAGTATCTAAATTCTTTTGAAAATATCCTGATGATGTTTGGGGCATATTTGAGTCCACAGATGCCTCTTGGATAATCTGTATTTCCAGCAAGAGGGAAGACACTGACAAATACTAAGACAAAGCAGATCCAGGATTAGATGGTCATTTATGTACCCTGCTCAAAATCATCATTTGTTTATAATGATTTCCTCAAACTGAAGCACTATGTAATGCATAGATCTTTTCAGTTGATTTTTTCTCAGTGGATGAAAGGGGAAAAATTAAGGAAAATCATAGACTGCTGAGGCTGTTGTCTTTTCATTTTTAAAGTGTTAACTTTGAACTACAGCGTCCACAGAACAAATACATTACCAGGTTTTTAGTCTCTTCCACTCCTCTGAAAAATAAGATACAAAACCTGGGACTTGGATTATGGACTGTGATGCTTTAGATTCAAGTTTTCTTTTTAAAAAAGACTAGGAAGGAGGAAGTGAGTAGGTTGATTGGCAAAATTCAGTTTACAAAAGGCCAGACCATTTAACTTTTCTTCCCAGCTGCATCATTCAGAGTCTGGCTGTATAAAACACTGTTTTTTGTGTCCTAACCTGCCTGTAAAGTGTATACAATAGCACTCCTTTTTGCAGCACCTCAAAAGAGATGCCATGAGATGTAAACTCATGCAAGAGATTAAGTACTTGTTGATAACTGGATGGAAGTCAAAGGTAAAATATGAAATACAGAGACACCTCAGATTTTGGTTTTAGCCATGTATCAAGTAGTAAAATTTCCTATATATAATTTTTTCCTTTTCTCCTCCCCTCAAACCACTACAAGGTTTTGGAAGAGGAAGGATTGCTCTGTCCCAGAAAAATGTCTTGAGAAGCTTGGAACAGGAAGAGCCATTTGATCTTTCCCAGAAAAGCCAAGGGAAGGGAGTCTCATTTCATTCTGATGGTGAGAGTGCCAAGGGAAGCTCATGCCAGGAAGAAGAGGAAGACAACTGCTATGAGGCAGAGCGGTACAGCCCTGCCACGTACCATGATGATGACAACAAGCTGTACATGGCTCAAGATCTCTCTGGCAAACCTGAGTGCATGATGAAGGACTTCAGAGAGTCCTACTGCAAGGAGAAGGAAGAGGTGTTAAGTGAGGGAGGACTGGGGAAGAGAATAGGAAATTCAGACAAAGAGGAGAGACATGGAGAGGGAGAGCTTGCAAACAACAAAGAACATCTCAGCTTTCGATCCTTTGAAAAGGCCAGACTTGATCAGTCTCTGTCCGATTACTTGTATTTCAAGCACAGGAATAAGAGTTTGAAAGAATTGCTGGAAAGGAAAATGGAAAAACAAACAATGCTTATAGGCATTTAAAATGGACATCTTAAAACAGCTTGAAAATGGTAACCAGATAGATTTTAACATGAATTGTAAGCTACTAAAGCCTGGAAGTCTGTAGTATGTAGAAATAAATAAGCCAAATTATTAAAAATAATTTAGGGTAAAAGACATACATTACAATAATAAAGCAGCTTGAGGTCACCAAGAATTGCAATAGATACTGAAAAATAACACTTTTGTATTTATCCATTTAATGTATAACAGACAATGGGTTGGGTACAGAAGTTTACTTCCTATTATATGGGGATAGATAATTACATGCAATTTTCTACTTAGCAGAAAGCAACATACTCTAGCATCTGATTTATTATCTGACTAAATATATATGAACGCTTCTAATCATATGCCTCAAAAATATCTGAAAATACAAAGTATTTCACATTATAAGCCAGAGTATTATTATACATGGCATGCATGAAAATGCTGTCAACATTCAAAACTAACACAGTCCAAATACTTTGATTTACTGAAGTGACTCTTAGTTCAACTACTTACAATGAGAAATGGGAAACCAATTAATAAGAAATTATATTGTCTTGGGAGGCAGTAAATGACAGTTCTGTAAGAGTTTGAAAGGACAGGAATTTATTACAAAGGCTAGTCCTCTGGCATGAGGAATGTTTGTGCTTTGCTGTGTTTCAGCCAGTATGGGAGCATTCAGAAATTCTTGAAGTGAAATAGCATAGATTGTATTGACATTTTGCTCTACTGCCTGCTTTGACCAATACATTTACTGGGCAGCATCAGCATGCAGCATTCACAATCTTGCCATATTTACACATAACACAGTATGAGTCATTTAATAGAAAAATTAAGCAGCTTTGCCATTTATTTCTTCAGTTTATCATGACTAGTAAGGATAATGTTGAAATAACACAGACCTGATAAAAGTTTGTTTCAGAAGGCAAAAATCACCCTTATAGAACAAGCAGTACCTCACAGAGGAAAACCTTCTTCTTATTGGGGTCAGAAATATTCTCTTATTAAACACATCTTGAGCAGTAAGTTGCAGGCCTTTCAGACAAATTTCACTCATGCTATTTTTTCTGAGTAAAACTCGGATTTTCATCCTCTGATTCCCAAAAATAATATGTTTATAACAAACATGGAAAAAGCATATCCATTAAAATTCATTAATTGCATGAATACTTTAAACAATGTACTAGTTCCTGCAACTTCAAGAAAGATGAAAAACAGCCATGCACCATCCTATTAATCAAGAAAATTGTCTTATATCCTTCAGACATCCCAGCTCAAAATATATATGGTGCATGTCTTCCAAATATTACTACCTTCTTCACTTACCTGCCAAGTTCTTGATTTAAAATCATTGCAATCATGCTCTCTATGTAGCAAGTTATAATTAAATATAGTTGTCTACTTATGGCTTGCTAAGACAAGTCATTTAGCTTCAGCTCTCTGCCCCTATAAAAAAACCACACACCTTTCAAATTAATGAACTTCATGCCTACCAGTTAATCAGCATTCACAGGGCAACATCCTTATTCCTCACATAAAACTGGATTTGTGTAGTCCAAGGCTGCAGGCAGTGCTTTCCTTTTTCAAGGCTCAAATGTGGCATAACACACGCAGAAGTTTATGCAGAAAAAGCTGTTGATAAAAGACAGAGTAACATCCAGGTGATTCTTCTAAATTAACTCTATGTCTGATGTGTATATTTTTAAAAATTAAAATGTTATGCCAAATTGGACTGGAAGGTAGGTCACTTTCAGCCTAGAATTTAAAAAGTCTTTGAATGTGAGGTGTATTTTAGAGGTACATAGTCATGTTTCTTCAGGGATAAACTGTTCTATCATAAACATTCCTCTTCCTTGCTTTAGCTGTAAAATGATGCCTATTGAAATAAAGAACCATCTTTCTTTCAAGGTAGATATTGAGGACAAGAAAAAAAATTAGAAAATTTTTAGAGTAATGAGTGTAACTGTATTCTTTCTTAGACTATAGGGGAAATGATCATGTAGAAATTCAGCATGGTCTAGTAGATGGTCTGTCAGAAATGGGAGCAACTCCTTCAGTTATATTCTTGGCTCTAGCTTGTCTCTGACAGACAAAAGCTCCCATTTGAGCATGTATACAACCAAAAGCTGTGAGTAGTTAATTCTTAGAATTCTCTCCCTCCTTGTGGTGTTGTTTCTAGCTGTGCACAGCTAGATTCAAGATCAGTCGACTCAACATTTTCAGATATATTAGTTCCCATGATAAGAAGAACAAGCAAGGAATCAGGAATCTCTTTACAATTTCTAGAAAAGTGATCATGCAGGTGGGTGGAATTTAGAAAGTCCTTCACTTCTGTGGTGTGTAAAGCAGGAAAGTGTACAGCACTTCTATTGCAAAGTCTTGTTTATTAATTGGAGAGTGCTATAGGACAGCTAGACATTCCTTATCAAGAAAGAAACAAAATATTACATATCATTTGAAGTCCAGACAAATGGAGCAAAAGAGATATTTTCAGCAGAGTTCCACTCCCAGCCACTAATATCAATGAATGTGTTCTATCTGGGCTTCAGCAAAGCCTCTGATACTATCTCCCATGGCATTCTCCTGGAAAAGCTGGCAGCTCATGGCTTGGGCAGATGAGCTCTTCACTTGGGTAAAAACCTGGCTGTATGGCTGGGCCAGAGAGTGGTGGGTAATGGAGTTAACTACAGTTGGCAGAGAGTCACCAGTGGTGTTCCCCAGGAGTCAGTACTAGGCCCAGCCTTGTTTAATATCTTTATTAATCATCTGGATGAGGGGATGGAGAGCCCCTGCAGTGCCACAGGCTGGGGCAGAGTGGCTGGAAAGCTGCCCAGAGGAAAAGGCCCTGGGGCTGCTGGTGACAGCAGCTGAACAGGAGCCAGCAGTGCCCAGGTGGCCAAGGAGGCCAATGGCATCCTGGCCTGGATCAGCAGGAGCAGGGCAGGGATTGTTCCCTGTACTGGGCACTGGTGAGGCTGCATCTCAAATCCTGTGTTCAATTTTGGGTCCTTCACTCTAAGAAAGACATTGAAGTGCTGGGGCACGTCCAGAGAAGGACTAGCCAGACAACATCCTTGGAGGTGTTCAAGAAATGACTGGATGTGGCACTTAGTCTAGCTGACCAGGCGGAGATTGTTCATAGGTTGGACTTAATGATTTTAGAAGTCTTTTCTTACCTAAATTCTTCTGTGATTATGTGATTCTGTCACTGCAAAAACCATGTCTGCTGGAAGCATGCAGTCCAGAGTTTCCTGACTGACCTTGTAAGAGCATGTGCCAGATGTGTCCTTAGGAAAGGAAATCACTGCAGACAGTTCTGTGTTGTCTAAACAGTTAATCTAAATTCTTTCAACCACACTCACTGCAGTCCCTTTAACCACTTCTACAGTTGCAGTTCTCAGTGGAGCAGAAGCACCTGACAACCACATACAGACAGATGGAAAAGAGTCCCTGAATGGCAATACTATTTGCAAGTAATTCATAATGTGAACCCCTTTTTGTTGCATTTTTATAGAAAGCAGAATATTTCTTCACAATGAGACTTCGAGATTCTGCCCAGTCACAAAGTCATACCAAGCTAATTCTAAAACACAGAAGTCTAATACATTTTTAAATAGTAAAAAACCTCATTTAAAACTGTAAACTGTCAATAGGAGAAATTACAAACAAAATTATTAGTGAGGTAAGAAGACAGTGCCAAGTGACCCAAGCAAAGTGATTAGAAGATGACAGTCCTCCCTACAGTAGAACATAATGCAAATAGGTCTAGGATACTTGTTACAGAGAGGCCTCAAGAGACAAATTAAAAGTGAAATAACAGCCTTCATTGTGAAGCACCTTGCTTTTCAAACATAAGTTATTTTCACACTATTTACATTGGCACCACTTTGAGAACAGACAGTAACAGCCTTTGCTTTTTAATAGCTTTGAAAATGCTTTATAGAAATTTGCTCTCATTATGAAGCTATTTCCCATTTGTAATTTTCAAGGGATTAGCTTCCTTATTTTGCCTTGTGTAGAGGCTCAGAAGTCCAATAGAGACATTGCCTGTGTCCTGGACATTGGGGGATATTTTCTTCTTTTTCTCATTCCTAATGTGAGTTTATCTATCGTCTTCTAGCTATGTTGTGGAAGAAAAAGTATTTATCTTACTATTATTCGTTGTTATTTGGGTCTTCAATTTATGGGGACATATGAAACTAAAGCCCAGTCTCCACCACCTCTGTATAACAGCACATCTATACCATTTCCTTGCATTGTTTATGCAGCCTTGTTTCATCCTTTTGGAGAGCATTACAGCAAATAAGAGTGACTACAAACTTGCATGGCTGAGATGCTTCCAGAAGTCTGGCTGAGAAAATATAAATTTGCCCTACCATAATGTATCTGGGCAAGTGAAGGCATGTGATTTGTTAAGTTGAGGCTTTTCTGATGTTAAGGGTAGCAGGAAGAGTTCTGCAAGACACTTTGGAGTACAGAGGAGGTGGAGGAAAAGCCAAAATCTGGGCTAGTAAAGTTTAAGGGTGAAGATAGACAACATATTTACAGGGAAAGCAAAGTTGTAAGTGACCTTGGGACAAGGTGTTTTCAGCCTGGCCACAAAGACTCAGCTGTCTCCTTGTGAAACTGAGTTTTCCTGGCTGACAGACCACCTTCAGTTTGTGACAGACCACCTTCAGTTTGAGTTTCTGTGTTCAGAAACTCAAAGGGTAAAATACTTTACAATGATATCATAATTAAAGTTTATCCTGTGCTGTTTCCTGTAAAAAAAGATACTGGAAAGACCAAGTAATGCTACTGCACCCCATGTTTTTACAATTCTGTGTTTGTCTAATACCTATTCTTTGACTTCTTTCTTCATATGGTGCTGCTGGACTCTGCTGTTTTGAGTGTACAGTTAAGAGGTAATATAAGTACTGTATTTATTATTCCTAGAAGTTTTAATAATTAACAGTTTTGAAAATGTCATGTCTGCTTAGCTGAACAAGATGTAACAGAGCTAACATTTTGTACTCCTAACAGATTTTGCAAATACTGTGTTGCATATTTATTTCACTTAGAACATCGAGTTCCTATTTAAAGCCACTGCTCATGAAATGAACCAACTATATTTGTGAATCTTTAGTTTCCAGCTTTCTATCTCAATAGTAAAAGCATGCATGATGTATTGTATTAATTTAAGCAAATAAATATGTACTAGAGAAGCTGCTGTACTTTGTATTGAAGTGGGCATGGAGCTCTTGGCATTCTAGGTATTTTATATGGCAAATGCATGGGTTTGGTCTGATAAGGTCATTCTTCACTGAGCACCACTGAAGAGTGGTTCTTGTAAAGGGGAGGTGAAATCAGTGATGGAGGACTAGTTGGAAGGCAAGAACAGAAGAACTGCCAGAGAGATCATTTACACTACAGACTACAGATTACAGACTACACAGAGAACATAAAAAAATGCTCTGGAGTGATTCCAGTATTTGTCAACTGGGCTTCATATAAGCTAAAAGAGAAAGGTTTTTCTCATAGAGATTTTTCAAAGAACTGCATCATGTGAAAAAAGAGGAAAAAGCAACCAGAAGTATTGTAAGATTGAAGTCAAGAAAGCAGATATACCATTATAGCCTAAGGAATAAGCAGAAGACTGGAATAAGAGGCCTAATGTTACTTTTTCTGAAGGAAAGGGTCACTTTTAAATTTTAATTAAACTCTTGAATTTGTTTGTTTGAATGAGATCCTGATTGATTTGGCATCATCAGACTTCACAGAGAGCACTTCAAACTTTTTAAGCATAGAGAAAGCAACAGGAATGTTTGCCATAAATAAAGACAACTCAGTAACAATGATAGATATCTTGTTTCTAATTCTGAGAGGTATACTCCTTAAAAAGTGGAAGAAGGCTTACGCAAACACTAGAAATACAGGCTGAAGGCTAAAAAACTCCCCAGAACTTAATTTCTTCCCTGTTTTCTCTTGCTTTCCCGGATGCTTTGATGGTAGGTAACAGCTACTATGAGGATCATAGACTACCTCTAAATGAGGAGGATGAGGATGTGTTGGAGAGTGACCTAGCTCATTCCCACATGCATTCCCATCCAGTATCAGTGAATCTCAAAGCTTCTCCTTTCTCAGTCACAAAAATAGGATTTAGAAATATATGTGTTTAGTATTTTTCACAAACTTCAATTGAGTTCAAAGCTGAGCCATGTTCACCTAAGTTTTCACTTACATTTTCAAACTATCAGAAATTAAGTAGAAGGGAAAGAGAGCCTCTCAAATGCTCCCAGGGGGCATTTCTGAGACAGTAATGACATGTTGAGAGGCTTAGAGTATCTAAAGGTATGGAGACAGCCAAATTAATACACAACCTCTTATCAAATTTGTCCCATTTATACACTCTTAGGCTCATGTAGTGTGATACAG